CTTATTTATCGGCTGCCGTCGCGCGGTTCGCCGCCTGCCCCTGCCCCGCCTGCCGGGGAGCCCCAGCGCGGGTGTCCGCTATTCGAAAGATCCACACGGGACAGATGGGGAACGCGGCTTTAATCAGCTTTGCCGAGGGCTGAAAGGAGCGGCGTGAGGTGGGCAGCGGGGTAAGGCACGAAGCGGGCCGGCTGCTTCAGGGGACGGATAGCTACGTGGCCAGGGGTTCAGGCCGCCGCTCCCGTTCGCTGGCCCCCAGCGCGCCTCGGGAGCGGAGGCAGGGGGGTGTCCCTCAGCGTACCCTGGAATAGTGCGGTGGGGATGGCGCCGAGCAGCTCCCGTGTAAAGCTGAGGTGAGCACCGGGGGGTCGCAGGTGTGACATGGAACCAACTAGCTTGAAACGCTCGGGAAAGATGTTTGGAGGCTGAAGTGGCACGCCCCGGTTTCCCACCTTAGTCTGTGCCCGTTACCTTAACACACGAAGCTGCGTGTGGGCCTCGCGTGAGGACCGGTCAGGGATAAACTCCTCTCAGCTGCCAGCATGTGCGGGTTCAAGTCGGCCTCGCCCCACTGCCCGTATGTAGGGAGACGCCTTGGCCGTAGCCGGTGAAGGTGCACAGGCGGGCCTGCTGGCTGAAATTTGGAAGCGGAGTTCTAACCCTTAAAATCCTTACTGGGGCATCACCTCAGTTGGTGCAGAAGGGGCATGTTCCTCCCACAGACTGTGTCTGTTTTCTGTGGTTTGCAGATACCGGCTGTCACCCACGTGCGTTTTGCTGGCCAGAAGCAATGGATGTCCCCTGTGACTGAGTCCTTGCATGAGTGTTTTGAAGATGAAACAGTGCATAAGCTCTTAAAGCGCACCACCTGAGGACATCGCTACCGACATGGACATCATTATTTATTTACAGATGCTGTAATCAGGAGGAGCTTTTTTGTAAACATGAATTGCTGGGCTCTTTCCTTGAGGTGTCGTTTCTTGTTTCATGCTATTGAAACATTAATTTTAACTTATTATGACTCCTTTGTGTTGGTCAGCTCTCAGGGACATTTCCCTAGGCTTGAAAATGTGGGAGCTTTCAAGAATGTGTCAACCGTGCCAACTCAAGCCACTTGTGGGCTGCCACACCGAAGTACTTTTTGTCATAGCTCAGTAGCAGTTGAAAGTATTATGTCCTGTACCCAGAGGTTTTGTGTTCAGGAGTGTCCATACAGGTCATCGCCTTCTTCCTACAAACTGCTTCTTTCAGAAGGCCTTGGTACCTGTATCACAGAGGACAAAAGGGACTTGCAGCCAGGGTCCTTCAGCAACGCTTCCAGTTTCATTTTTCATAATCACAAGGATTGCTTCTCTACTCCCCGTTCTCTGAGGCTTGCAGCTTCGTTTACGTTAACTGTATGGTTGAAACCTGAGCAAGAAGGTGTAATGTAAGTAGTATTGAAGGTGTTTACTTTCCTGGTGCTCTTAAAAAAATTGATCATTGTAGTCACAGTCATTATTAGCAAGCTATTTAAAATTTTAAAAAGGTACAGTGAGAAACGGTGGCGTTTTAAAGCAGTATTTAGGTTGGGGTCTTTGCAAATGTCAAGACAAGTAGATTCAGTTTCAGTGGCATTGACTCAGGTGATAGTCCAGTTGCTTTCAGTGGAAACTATTCATACATAATGTGCATGTCTATTCTTAAAAATCTAAATTTGTATTTCTCATTCACATTCATCCTTCTAAAAGCTGCTAGAAAAATATGTCAGGGGTTTGCACTGTTGCTGCTTTTGTGATGAAAAAAAATTTAAAACTATAGTAATTCCCTCAACACAAGTTTACTTCTTAAAAAAACCCAAGGAAAACCTCTAGATCTTCCAAAATGGATATTTCAGAGCTGTGGAAGAGTGGTCATAGTTTTTCTGGAAGATATGGGGAATGTTGATGGAACGACAGATCATGTTGCTACTTTAACAAAAGAGTCCACTATTCAAACTGCTAGTGAAGTTTCACTAGGTGTTCAAAACCAGATGTGGATAAGAATGCTCCCTCTCTTATTTGCCTACACGTCACATTTTTAGCAGATATTGCTGTCATAAATGGCCCTTCAGCTTGACTGGGCCTAACCATAACGAAAAACTTGCTTTCTGAAAAATGCATTGCAAATCCTGCAAAAAAAGTTCCTCTCGTCTGTGACAAAATGCAGACCCTCCTGCTCTTTCTTACCTGGGTTGTGCAGATCCTCTTTAAAGTGAAGCACAGAAAGTACGGTACATTCCTTCAGAGTGTATGTCACAAATGTTTTTGTACTGGTGCTCCTAACTTACTCTTGGAATGAAACTAATGATCTGCTTTGTTCTAGCATTCTTGATACTTATTTTGCATGCTGATGTGAACTAGGGAGTTGTCTAGGGGTGTGAAAATCATCGGAAACAGTGGAAATGTCTAAAATTATAACGATATATGTAAAAGTATAGTCTGCTTTATGCAAAGATAATTACCTTCAAAAAACCAACCTAACTACAGAAATTGTGGTTATGGAGGGGAAATACATGAGATCTGCAGAGCAAAAGTGACTTGTTTGATTTTAAATCAGCTTAGATGAAGGTAGGTGTAAAGGTGTCTCTGGAGCTTTGGCCTAGTGTCTTTTATAGACAACATTTTCTGTATAATGTTTGAATGCCAGAGAGTCCATGCCTGGGGTTGTCCTATGTCATAAGTTCATGTCCGTGCACATGTGGGGATTATCAACCTCGTTCAGCAGAGCATATGCCTAATTTGAAGCAGAAATGTCCTGCTAGTTTCCAAGCAAGCTGTGATGTATTGAGTGAGATCCGTGAAACTCTTCTGTCAGTGGGTTAGGCTTTTGCTTGCATGGAACCAAAAACAATGAAATGTGTGTCCGTAGTTTCAAATGATTAAGTGCCGTGCAGAAACCAGACTCTACCGATGTCTGATTATCCATGGACTAGTATAAAACATTAGCCTCCAATTGCTACTGTGTTAATAACTACACAATGTACATATTCCTGTTCAGTGGGTTTTATAGATCACTTTAAAGTCTAAATGTTTTCATTCAATTTTTGTAATAGATCACTTCGTTCATCTGCCTTGTGAGACTGCTGCTATTCAACATGTAGAAATGACAATGGTAGAGCCCAGTCCTGCAAGCAGTAGTTGGACAACAGTTATTCCAGAGGTCAGGATGATATGCTGCTGTCCTGACTCTTTTTCACTGTTCACAGAAAGAAGCATGTTAATTTTTCTTTCTTCATAAAAGGAATTCAAACAGTAATTGCACACTAATAGTCACTGAAGCTCAACTCTAAAGTCACCCTACAAAAGAGAAATAGTTTAACAGCAAACTAAGATGTTTTTCCTTTTATTGTATTGGTTTAGTGAGTCCTTCAGGTTGGCAGACGAGTTTGACTTACCAGATGTCCTACATTTTGCAGTCCCTGATGGGGAATTGTCCCTGTTAGATGTCATTTGTGAGACCTTTTAAACCCCATTATCACAGCAGAGGGACTTCACGGAACTGGGACTCATTCTAACAAAGTGTTTGTGCTGCCACCAAGACATTAGGAAGATGAACCAGAACCAGTTGCTCACTTTTACCAGTAGAATAATTGAAAGTTTAACAAGGTATTTTGTTTAGTGGCAAAGTGCTCTTACATTAAGTACCCCATACCCATGGTTTCTGAACATGCTATACTAATGTGTGTTTTCATGCTGAATGTTATATGGTCTGGCTGCTAGAGAGCGCTTAGGAAAGAAGCTAGGAGTGTTGCTGTGTAGTATCCTTGTAAAGACTGTGACATGTCTGTTAGGCATGTGCCCATGTAAGAGAATAGCAGGATTTTTCTGCTAGAAGTTATAGTGCTGACTGAAGTGAGAGATACGGATGTGAGGATGCAAAGCCTGAAGGCCTTTTAAAGACTGTGACATTCTGAGGGAGCAAATATATGTGAATAGTCAAAGACACCAAGAATTTTCTTCATCAGTTTCATATACCAACTTTTCTTACATGAATCTGGGAAAGAATGCACTTTCATAAAAGGTGAGAGGAAAGTGAGATCATGTGGATTTAATTGAAGCCCTAATGTTCTTCTAAGATGTATAGTGTAGGTATTTGTAGGTATGCTTTTAAGTCACTGCATATTGGAAATTCTGAAGAAAAGCAAGAGAACAGTGAGAAAACACTGACATTTGTACTCTAGTCTTTAAATTTACTTTCCCTTTAGGCAATAAGTGCAATAAGTCAGCAGAGCTCTTGTCCCTGAATTTTATTCTTTCCCTGTGCTTCCTCTCTTACCGCATGGACTCATCAGTTAATATAAATGCTTTCTGTAAGCCTGTGCATAGCCTGTAAGCAAGCCTTAGCACAATATAGGAAATTGTATATGATAATAACCCTTTGCAATGAAATAGGATTAAGAATGTGAGTAGAAGCTTAGCATGTATGAGTAATCATTGCCAGCACTTTATATCAGTTTAGCGTGAACTGGGCTAACTGGAAATTAGATGACGGAAGACACTGGCGGTGGGAGAGAAATGAACTGGGGCCTTCTACATGCAAAAGGCTCAGGGGAAGAGCCCGCTTGTGAAGTGGACAGGAGATGTACTTTTTCAGCTTCATTTATCTAGAGGACTAAAATCATATCTTATTATTTTATATCCCTTCAGATGTTTTACATTAGGAATTAGTCTGAAAGAAGGATTTGCCTTAAGATACCACGCGTCTGATGTTGAACCCATGCAGATGTTCCCATTTGCAAGTGCTCCAGTTAATGTGTGGGGGTCCCCAGTGCAGCTGTGTTGGTTCTCTAGAATATTTTGCTCTTTGAAAGCTGACCGAGCAGATTTGTGTTGTTTGCTTTTTCTCCCTTCAACCCCACCACAGAGAATCATGTAGTCAGGAATTGGCTCTGTGGGACTGCAGGTTACCAGAAGTTGGAAACTTCACAAAGAACAGTGGTTCCTCTCTGTAATCATGGCTGGAATGGAAAATTATGTTCAGAGTCAGAAGTAATGCTAATGCCTATTTCACCTATGTTAGTGCTAGTTTTTTTTTCTTCCCCCTCCCCTCCCTGTTCTCTGCCTCTTGATTTTTCTCCTTCAGCAGTGAGTCACAATTCACATTTGTTCTTTTCAGTTTTCAAAGTGATGTACATCAAGGTCACTTCCCTTCTTAAAGTCATGACACCTTTGGGGATAAAAACAATGTGGGGATGTTTGTTTTAGATAACTAAAATAAACAAAAAACTGGATTATCCAATTATTGTTTATCCAGGAACTGGGTAAATCCAGTTCCTAAATATTTTGCTACTTAGCTGAGCCTTCCCTCACATTTATTATCTAGCGAAACTAGCATGTTTACAAGCAAACAAAATATTGAAAAGACCAGTTGACAATATATTAAGAAACATGTTTCTAGTAAGGTTTGGAAAACAGAAGTCTGCATTTTGCAAGTTATTTTATTGACAACATTCCAGCAGGCTAAAATCGTAACAGTTAAGATGACTTAATTTTTCTCTTGTATTTAAAGGTGAATTAGTGAATAATGGCAGTATCAAAGAACAGTCTTTTAGTTTTTTTTTTATAAATCCATAGTAGGTAAAGACAGTTTTAAGTAGATAAGTGGAGATTTTTTTTCTGAAATACATCTAAGTAAATCCTGGCTTCATACAAATTTTGTATGCTTCTCTCTTGTGACTTAGTGCACTAATTTAGTGTGGTGTAACTTAAAATATTTGTTTTTTCATGGGTCAGTAAATTGGGGACCGGATTTCTCAAGCAGCTGAAATGGGAACGCAGAACTTCATGATTTTTGTTTTGCTGATGATTACCTTAATAAAATACGTAGCTATTTCACAAACATATATAGCCTGTGCTTTCTCAGGACTATTGACATCATGGTGATAGGATTGGCAAAAATATTTCAGCAGCTAGATAGGCAATGTGGGTTGCTATGGGTAGTATTCTTCGTGTCTTATATGTCAATGTTGCATTTGATATTGATGCGAAATCTTTGTGGGGAAAAAACCCGAACAAGTGGCTGAATAGCCTTTTTGCCTTGCTCTGGTTCTCTTAGGTTAAAGAAAGGCTGTGTCAGAGGGACGGTATAAGGGAAGCTGGTGTTGCTACCTTACCTGGACAGATTTGGTGGAAAGATAGAAGACTTATTTCCAAAATGTGTCATTTATACTGCTTTTTGTGGTTATATTGTATTTGCCTTGTTAGACTAAGAAAAATATAAGTGGCTCCACAGGATGTGCTATTTTGCAGAGCTTTGTATGGAAAGTGCAGCAGAGACCTGCACAGTGCTGGCCAGCCACTGTGGTTTCTGTCACAGAACTCTGAAGAGAGGAGGCAAAGTGGACCCCTCTTCTACCCCCAAGTGAACTGGGATTGTGTGCACTAAATTTAAAAAAATAAATAAAATTAAAATCTCACAGATTAAGACAGAAAGTATCTTTGTTAAAGTTCTTTTACACTTAGTACATCCTGTGACTTTCACTGTCACTGAACATCTTCTCAAGAGCTGTATTTTTAACGTTTATTTTAATACATTCCGGTTAGCATCACTTTACAGGATAGCACCTTGGCAAGAATGTGTATATGCGTGTGCCTCTGACCTTATGTTGTTTTTCTTGGTTATTTCCAAAGGTGTGTGATAGAAAAGGCTATTGATGGGCAGACTGTGTTCAAACTCACAATCTCTGAGAAAGAGACCATGTTTTATTATCGCACAGTAAATGGTTTGCAGCCACCAATAAAAGTAATGACACTGGGGAGAATTCTTGTGAAGAAATGGATTCATCTTAGTGTGCAGGTGAGTAAAATAAAAAACATTTAATGTTTGTTGAAATACAACATCTGTGTGCGAATGGTATAACTGTATAAATGCAAAAGGGTAAATCGAAGGATGTAAATGATAACTCTTGAGTCTTGGTAAAGATCTTAATTTGGGAGCTTATTTTGAGGCAACTACTAATTTAGCACTGGAAAGAAATGCTGTGCCTGTTCTGAACAAACAAGGCTGAAAAGGCTCACCCTTAAGAACACAGGTATTTGGGGTGAAGAAAAGCTACGTATTCCTGACATTACCAATAAGTCCTGGGTCTCTGAGATTATTTCCTAAAAAAAGAGAATGTTATCCCCATTTATACATGCTAATGTACTCCTCTTAGAGGTGTGTCCCATTTAGTTTTAAAAACCTCTTACTGTGCATGTAAGTAAACATGTATGAGTTTGTGCAGGATCAACCAAGCTAGTAAGTTACAGAGCTATTAATTCTTAATTTAAAAATATGTTTCAGAATTATTAAAATACAGTCTTTATGTTCTAAAAGTCTTCTGTTGACATAACTTTTAAATGTGTACAAATATCCACTGATATTCCACTAAAGCAGAATTGAGTTTGTTAAAATTTAAAGCGTATGTACAAAAATCAGTAAACAAACACAGAAGTTAAAATTCAGTTATTTGCATGTCTTGTAATTCCCAACGGATGCTCTAGTAAATTTTGTTTGAAAGCCAAGTTCAACTAATAATTATAAACCACAATTATCAGGTATTGAAATGTTTATCTTCTTCTTCCTTCATTTCCTTTATCTATTCTAGTAAATTTCATTTGGGTAACAGCACAATCAAGAAGTGTTTTGCTGCTTTCTTGAAACTTGCTAAAAGGTATTGACTGTGATTTGGATTTTTAGTGCTGATCTTGTCACTCGTAAGAAGTATCTAAGCTGACGTCTTGATTTTTTTTGCAGTTTTCTTTTTTTTTTCCAGGATAACAGCATGGTAGTGCGAATAAGATTTTGGCTGTTGGATTAAAAGAGTGACCTTAAGGTAGAACTAATGAACTTTACACTTCAAACACTCCAAGGGTGCTATATTACTGCTGTTGCTGTCAGCTGCATTTTGTACTAGCCTCAGAAACTGCTAAAGCCTGGGATAGCAAAGTGAAGAGTGAAAGGGTTGGATTTAAATACACACACATATCTTAAATTGTATTGCAAAGAAACCTCGAGCACTCTGTAGAATTTGGTCCTTTGTTTCTTTGGGGAAAGTTGTTCAACGCATAGCAGGAGTAAAGAAGTGTAGCTTCTAGACCCTTAAAGGGGCTGCAGGCTTGATACCTTTACCAAGTTTCTGAGCTCAGGGTAGAACCTTATATTCTGTGGTTTGTGGTATTGTAGGATTCAATTTCCCATTAAAGATGATGATAGTGGCTGCAGTGTGATCTATTTAGCACTAGGTCTGGCTATGAAACTTTAGGCAAAGGGGTTTTTGTTTTCTTTTTTTTGTTTTGTTTTGGTTTTTGTTTTTTTTTTTCCTTTTAGCAGCTGTTCAGGAACATTTTTTCTATAAATGGAGAAATAAATGGAGAATGACAGACCACCCAAAATATGCAAAAGTAACATTCATATGGAAATGTCTGCATCTTCAGACAACAGTAGTATTTGACGATGAGATATTTTTATATATATCATGATGATATATAGGTGTTTCCTTATGCTGATTAAAGTGTCTTCTGAATATGAAGCACTATGTAGTTTTATAGGCAATAGTAATTGTAGTTAAAGGCAGTGGAAGAGCCTGGAGTTTACACCTAAAAGTACAAATCACCTGATCTTACCACAGGTGTGACTCGACTTCTCTGACTAACCAGCCTTCTCCCCAGGTGATGGCCATACATACAGTAGGAATGGGCACTGCAGAGTGGAGGACCGACCCTCCTGTGGGCTGTAGGTGAGCTGCCTGGAGTTGAGGCAGCAGAGAGGGCTGAGTGCAGTTAATAACTTACTACTACTTCGAGTTTTTCCAAGACAGACCATGCGGATTTGCGGATTTCCTTGCTGTCTTGTTGAGGCGAAACTGCCTCTGATACCTGTAAAGGATTAACAGTCTCTGTTCTGTGTTACTGTTGTAGGCATAACCTTTATCTTCTAGCAAAGACAAGCCCTAGGACTGAGCTCTGTGGCTAATAAGTTAGGAAAGTTTGCAGTCATCCAATTGCTGGTTTGGTTGTAGGTATGGTGTTACCCGTGTAGTTGCTATATAACATTCTTCTACAGAAAACAAAAAGGAAATCGTTGTTGGATATGAAATGTCATGTATGTGGCTGTGATGTTTAGCCACAAGGTATTAGGTTTCCTAAACTAACAGTGGATTTAACACCTTTTTAGGTACTTTGCAGAATTTGAAACATTGGCATTCGTTTTACTTCCTGGTTCTAGCCAGAGCTGGGTGGCATGTCCTGATGTAAAAAACCCCTAAATCTAATCAGACTTGTGTGACAGCTTGCTTGATATGATTTTTGGACTAAAGAAAATAATGTTTGTGAATGTTCTGATAAGACAGTTGAAAACGTGGAATGGATTTATTTTTGTGCACATAACAATACATATGTATGGAAAAAGTGTAATTAAAAAAAAAAAAAGAAGACTGCATTGCCATATTTGGAGTTGTAGGACCCCTAAAAACTTCATCTGTGAATTTAAGATGAAGAGGGTTAGGATGCGATGCAGCTATGCCAAACAGAATTTTACATAAAGAAATTATATTCTTTATGCCTGAAGCATAGTAGGCACAAGCTATTCAGATTACTTTTTTTAAAAAGTATGTACTTTTCAACATTTAGGTAATTAAGGTACTGGTGGTAACTGAAGATGTATATGTTAACAACTCTTGTTTTTTATGAAAATATTTTAACTTTATGCCAGAGGTGTGGGCATGTAAGCTGTTGACAGTTTGTTTCCCAGAAATTTAAGGTAGAAGCGTTAAATACTGCAATTAATATCCCTTGTCTTTAATATACATGACTTTTCTGGTAGATGAAGCATATTTGGTCCTTGTTTTCTCTAAGACTACAAAACTTTTTAACAGTGTAGCTTTAGGTGGTTTAGGTCTGTATAGGTAATGCAGGTGATAGCAGAGGATCAAAATAGTTACCTTGTAAATATATTGGATATAAACTTAATGGGATATTCACAGCATATTGCGAAATATCATTGAAAGCCATGCACAGTATTGCATGTTTGTGTGGTAGACAGGGAGGAAAAAAATAGTTTCTGGCATGATATCTTGTTGCTCAGTGACTGCAGCAGACCAAATTACGGGTATGTGTAATTTGAGGTGAGTCTGATTCAGGACAAAAGTTTTTTTTGCTGAATGCTAGCACTTACCAATATGGTTAGCAAATAGAAGTGTGTAATGGACCCTGCCCCTGAGAAAAAAGCAATACTTGTTGTTTGGCTCACAGGGAATTTATGCATCTTGTTTGTGACAATGCATGGATGAAGGGCAGGGGTGGGCAGGCTGGCTGGCACAACCCAGTGGCAACAACCAAAGAATTAGGGGTTGAAGCATGAAGCTTTGCATACCAAGTTGGTGACAGGAATAACAGCTAAGGGAGGCTGTGGGATTTGGTTTTGTAAGTGTTGACAGCATATTGGTGATTTTTTGTTTTTCAGCAGGTTGGTTGTAGTTTGTGAAAAGTGTGTGTGTGTTGGGTGATGTAGCTGATCATGAGAGACAGTTCTGCCAAGGAGCTAGGGTCCAAGTCCATCTCTGGACACAGGTATGCCTAATGTGAGACTGACTGGGGCCAAAGATCTCCAAAGCCAAGAAGTCAGTAGGAGCTGGGAGCCTGCAATCAGGGGAGTTCCTGTGGTCAGTAGGAAAAACTGAAATATTTGTGCATAAATGCTAGGCAACAAACACCATAACAGAGCGTGAAGTATTGGTTACAGATGTGCAGCTGAATTTAGAGAGAGCAGAAATATGGTAGGATAGCAGATATGTTTGGAATTCAGGTGTAAGAGCATATGCCTATTCAGGAATGATAAAAATGAAAGCTAAATGGTGGAATAGCACCAAATAGTAATTAAATGATAAGAGGGAAGGACAGAAGAAAGGACAGCACAGATTGAAAATAATTTCTTTGGAATAAAATAATTCTAGGGGAAGAGAAGGCTAGTAAATTAATTCTATTGAGGTGATCTTGGAATTTAAATCCTTGGGTTTGGATTTAGATGTGTAATTTGTTAGAGAGAGCTACTACTAAAAACTGTGTCATTGCCACAGAGACATTGTCACAGAGACTTATTCTCCAGTTTATAGCTGAGAAATTAAAGTTCTAACAAGAGCAGGGGCCAAACATTCCTGTATGTTCTGCATGAAAGGTTTCTCCATCAAGTAGCTACTGAAGCAGAAAGTCTGGATACCAGCTTTGTTAAGTGATGAGGGCGTTATTAGAGATGTGGGTCTCAAAAATAATATTGCATATTCACAACTAGATTCAGATGAAATAGTAGAATAAACAGTTCTTTGGTTCTGTAAGTACACTTTTGGATTTCAAAGAGGACAAATAAATAGGACTATTTTAATAAAACAAGGAGACCTGTGGAGCCCAGAGATGTAATTGAAAAAAGACCTGGAAGTTATTAAAAATAATAATAGCATTAAGAGAAATCTCTGCTCTTAAAGAAAAAAAAAAATTGGAGGTGTAGTGCCCGGGCTTATCTGAGTAAACACCTCTACAGTTAGAGATGGCAGAGTCTGCAAGCAGTGAGGATGCAAATTCACAGAGAATGCTACGTAGGAATAGAAATAAAAACTGTAAATATGTCAAGCTGAATTAGATGCAGTGACTGTCAAATGGTAAAAAAGTTTTTAGTTTTTTTTTGTGTAAGAAGGCAAGACCTATGTATAGTGATGGTGTGCTTGTGATGGAAGAATAATTTGAGTAAGGTCTCCCAAATAAATGGTTTTCTTCTGTTTTCGATAATGATAACAGTCACAGAGCAAATCCAAGCTGGGTAACAGA